GGTTACCATTAGCTTCCGGTAGCTCAGTCGGTGGCATGAAGACATCTACAGGCGTGTAGCTGTGTGTCGACCATGGCATGGCTAGAAGATAGAAGAACAAACAGAACACAAAAATTTAACAGATTTTATTTAACTTGAAAAGCACTTTCATTACATTTGAAATTGAAATTTTAAAGAACAAAATAAATTTTAAATCTTTGGCGCTGCTATAAAACTATACACTTAACTTTCGCTGGTCCATTTTGACTGACTGAAGCGAGGATGGCCAGGTGCTTGAAGCTGGGGTCCCAGTTATGAGGGGTGACCTCACATTTATTGGCTTCAAAACCAGTTGTAGGCGAAGTTAAACTTGAAGGTGATGGCGCTGCCAAGGCACATGCATGGGTGAAGTGATAGGCCAAGCAATGCAAAGTCAAAGACAAAGGCAAATGCAAAAGTCAAAGACAAAGGGAAATGGGGTGGCCCCAATCATTTTGTGCTATTCGGACACACATTCTACAAACCGCTAGCACATGGCGCTATATGACCTCATGCTACAGAGAACAAAATTCTTAGCTCTTGTTAGATCGGCAGCTCAAGTGAAAAGGAAGCGCGAGGAAGATCACAGATCAGGAACTCCGCATCAAGCGCGCTCCAAGCGGAAATTTTTTCAAGTAAAAAAGCTAGAGATGGGATTAATGAGTTGCGATTCTGAAATGATAATCGAGAAGTGATTTAATAAATACAATCGGACGGTGAAACCGTTACACTCGCCCCTACTTAACCAAAAAAAAAATTCGAAGAAGCATTCAAGAATTTTTTTTTTATTTAACAAGGAAATTGAAAGTTATCACGGAAGGACAAATGTACAACCATTCGACCAGATAACAAGTAGCAAAAGTAAGGTAGAAACAAAAATGTTAGAAGAGAATTGGAAGAAAAAGGGATAGCCTCAAGTCTACCAAACAAGAGAGATGGTTATAGCACCAACTCGCTGAAAAGTACAGTGAAGTTGCACTTAAAAAAAACTATCATCATATGATGAACAACCCAAAACATAAAACATCGTCACACCTAGGACGAGAAAAATAATAAACCAAAAGCTTCAGCAGTAGTTCAAGCACGAAGTGAGGAATCACAATGGCATCCAAAATGCACGACTGACTACTAAAAACTTCAAAACTAAGTAAGTACCTAAACCATAAGAGGTACTAAAAAAAACTGAATAATAAACTTTCTCAAAACAATTGCAAGATTACAGATTTGCAACTAGGCGGAAAGCATATATGACAAGTCTCAAGAGGAAAATAAAATGCATATGGAGAAAACACTTTCAATTAAAGAAACTGTGGATAGTACCAGACCCTCAAAGGCATACATCGTAACGAATCTATGTAACTATTCAGACTACAAAATACTGTCAAAGTTCAAAACCACTCAAAAATATGTGAACAAACATCAAAAGTTTGAACCAAAAATCAATGTAAGTCTGTGCTCTCGAACAAAGTTATAATGAATTCAAAAAGAGGATACTATCAAAAACTTCAAAAGTAATAGACTTCAAAAATAGAGGTACGTAAGTATGTAAAAGAAATTCAGAAAATATTCGCATAAAAACATTATAAAATATTATACACAGTATTTGACACATGATTTTGATGGGGAATGCAATTTAAATTTTGAGTACACTCAGAAAAATGAAATATTCAAAAGATGAAGTATACACATTAAATTGGAATCAGAAAAATAATTATGACTTGTAAATTTTGTAAATGGTGGACTGACGTAATGGTTCAAAAGGTTGAAAGAACAACGGTGACAAATGTCCAAAGTAAACATTCAACTGCCTTTTACAGAAAATTAGCTTAACAATTATCAAAGGAAATTCTTGTCCGTTCGCATCTGTACTAGGAAATAAATATAGGAAAACCTACTCGCTCCAATGTACAGATCGAAAAACTCGCCCCCTTCGATTGAGCGGAAATATGAGTATTGGACAAATTGTAATATTTCAAAAGGTTGAAGGAACAACGATGTTAAATGTCCAAAGTAAACATTCACCTGCCTTTTACAGCAAATAAGTTTAATCATTATCAAAGGAAATTCTTGTCCGTTCGCATCTGTACTAGGAAATAGATATAGGAAAACCTACTTGTTCCAATGTACAGATCGAAAAACTCGCCCCCTTCGATTGAGCGGAAATATGAGTATTGGACTGATTGTAATATTTCAAAAGGTTGAAGGATCAATGATGTTAAATGTCCAAAGTAAACAATTAGCTGCCTCTTACAGCAAATAAGTTTAATCATTATCGAAGGAAATTCTTGTCCGTTCGCATCTGTACTAGGAAATAAACATAGGAAAACCTACTCGCTCCAATGTACAGATCGAAAAACTCGCCCCCTTCGATTGAGCAGAAATATGAGTATTGGACTGATTGTAATATTTCAAAAGGTTGAAGGATCAACGATGTTAAATGTCCAAAGTAAACAATCAGCTGGCTCTTACAGCAAATACGTTTAATCATTATCAAAGGAAATTCTTGTCCGTTCGCATCTGTACTAGGAAATAAATATAGGAAGACCTACTCGCTCCAATGTACAGATCGAAAAACTCGCCCCCTTCGATTGAGCGGAAATAACAAGGATCCAAAACACTATAAAAAACTAACAATACAAACAAAAAGTTTCAATACAAAAACAGGAGCAGTCAAATCTTAAAAAAATTATTTTATATCTGACATACATTAAAAAAGAGAGACGTTCAAGTCCTGTTAATCCAATGGAAAATCAGACACTAATGTTCTAATTTTCCCCCAAAGAATATGCCAGATAAAACTATAAAACATTAAAATTATGAAAACTTATGCTCCAAACAAGAGACAAAATTACTACAATGGTTACTGAGGAACGTATACTATTTCAACAACAAGTTGAAATTTAATTATCATAAATGAGTATGTGTGTCTTTGTATAGGTAAAAATGATTTAGGAGTCACCCCCCCATTGAAAAGTAGCAAAAATATAGTCAAGAAAAACATCATCTGTTTCTTGAAAAAAAAGAAAGGTAAGTATCAACGCACTATGTCCAAGTGTCAATACTTGAGAAAAAGTAAACCGCCAAAATATACGAAAAATTATGAATATCAATTTCATACAATTCAGACAAATGGATAAATCGCAAAATGATTTACTCCAGATAACTCTAGTCAGTAGATTATTGCCATCAGAATGAAATGTCACTTTATTTCCAGGATCCGACGACGTCATATTAAATTTGTGTTTTGAAATCAGCGACCTCAAAAACTCTTCTTATCCAAATTTCGTCAGGATGCTACAATAGTTGTATTTTTTGCCAGCTTTTTGGGTCTGGTAGACCACTGTGACGAGAGGGTAAGGAAGACATGCCTAGATCGCAACGTTGTCCAATGAGTGGGAACCATAGACTGATTGTAGGGCCTGCTTGGCTGTTTGACTATTTTTTTTATACATCTTCGCAGCTAACTTTTTTCCCAGGAGTGCTAACTTGTACCGAACATAATCCTGTATGACTAGATAACAGTGTTGTTGTATAAGAAGTCAACCTACTTGACGCCACTTTTTACAGCAGTATTCGCTATTTAGACTTTACACTAGCTTCTTATTGGATATAAAGAAGATTATACAGGGTGCGGCAGAGAGGACGGACGTTTTTGGAATGGGTAGTACTCTCCGCCTCCGTCTACGAGGTGGGGAGGGTGCCATTTGACTCGTGAGATCCTAGCATTATTTTACCAGTTGTCGTTATCGAGCCTTGGACGGTGGAGCACCGCGTTTTCGCCTATGATTGTTTCGTCCGAAATAATGAGTCAGTCATCGTCGTACAGCGTGAGTTTCGTCGCCACTTCAACATTCATCGGAATAGAGCTGTTCCCTCTCGAAACACCATCCTTCGTTGGGTTGAATCACTTCGCAGGCCTGGTGAACTGATCAACAGAAGACCAAGAGGAGCGCCGCGAACAGTTCGAACTCCTGAAAATGTTGAACGCGTTCGACAGGTCTTTCTTCGCAGTCCGACTCGATCTGCCGGGAACATGCTGCTGCACTTCGCCTTAGTGATCGTTCGGTAAGGCGAATTTTGCATATGGATCTCCGCTTTCACCCCTACAAATTGGCCATTGTGCAACAGTTACAGCCCGGAGATTATGCACAACGAATGAACTTCGCACGTGAGATGGAAGCACTGATCGGTCAAAATGAGAACCTCATTTTGTTTATGAGTGACGAAGCCCACTTTCACCTAAACAGCATGGTTAACCAGTAGAATTGTCGTCATTGGGCTAATGAAAATCCGCAACAATTACACGAAAGACCGCTGCACAGCAAAAGTAATGGTTTGGTGCGCTGTATCGCAAACTTGCATCATTGGCCCTTACTTCTTCGAAGAGGGTAATGGTCGTGATGTTACCGTGAAATCAGAGCGCTACGTCGACATGATCACCAACTTCTTTCTCCCTGAATTACGACGTCGACGTGTTCCAATCCGACGTGTGTGGTTCCAGCAGGATGGGGCGACCGCCCACACAGCCCGAGCATCCATGGACGTTATTCGCACTCTCTTCCCTGGTCGCCTTATTTCCAGGTTTGGCGATGTTCATTGGCCTCCTCGGTCCCCAGATTTATCCATATGCGATTTTTTCTTATGGGGACACCTCAAGGCTAGAGTATACTCGAACAAGCGCCGAACTCTGGACGAATTGAAGGGCGAAATTCGCGTGGAAGTCGCCCAAGTTGAGAGAGTGATGTTGGAGAGAGTCTACGCGAACTTCCAAGAACGCCTCCAGCACTGCATCAACAATTTCGGCCACCACATGCCTCTTGTGATTTTCCACACTTGACTGTCTCAAATGCTATTTCCTTGTGAACCTGATTCCATCAATAAATTTGTTTTCGAGTAAAAATTAACTATTTTATGAATTTTTTAAAACCGTCCATCCTCTCTGCCGCACCCTGTACAATACTGTCTACATCTATTGAAGGCCACCTAAGTCCTTTCCTCGATCCACAGCTATCATCCTTAGTGACGTCACAAGCAAAGCTTGCAGCCGCATAGTCTGGCGTCGCGGTCGCATTTCACCACGGCGTCGCGCGCCAGCCGTGCACAGATAAAATTCCTGCGGTTCAGTTCTGGTGCGTGAGGAGGCCGCGAAGGAAAACTCGCGACGTTGACGGTGGCGTTCGCGCGGAAATGCTCCACTTTCCAGACGGAAAATGCGAACGGAGTTGTTGCTTCAGCCGGCGTCCTCTTCTTCGTTGTTTTTGTAGGAAGTGAGACGTTTGGATTATGATGATTATCTTCGCCATTCCGGTGGTGTGGATCCTTCTTGGTGAGTAATAAAATTATTCTGTACTTAATCTCAGAAACCGCTACACCGGTTCTATTGAAAATTGGATGTGGTATCATTCATTTTTGAAAATCTGACCAGTGGAGGCAAGATCATGAGAAAAATATAAAAACGTTTCATATAGTTCCTAAACTGCATATGTTATTTTTTTATTAACTACTCAGTTACACATGGGGTAAAAAATAAAATAATTATAAACAATCTGTATAATATAAATATAATGTATAACAATATAAATAAAAATCAATATACATATAGTTGGCAATACATATGAATGTTCAATTCCATCTTCATGTACTCAAGGTTGCACATACCATATTCTCATTTATGTTATAAAATGCATTTAATGTTATTAGTTTTTTTTAACTTTATTTTTAAATCGAGAATAATTACTGATTTTTTGTATTTCAACTGGTAATTTATTGTATAATTTGATGTAGTTATAAAAGGGTGATTTCTTGAAATGTGTTGTGGTATGTGTATGGATGATTTTTCGATTTTGATTTCTAGTATGGTAATTATGATGAGCATTAATATTTCGTTACAAGCTATTATATTTCTCAACGTAAGTTACACATTTTAAAATGTAAATATAATTTTACAATGTAATGTTAGAATTTCTTCTGATTTAAAAATTTCTCTGCAGGAGTCAATTGGCTTAATTCCAAAAATTAATCTGACGATTCTTTTTTGGGCAACAAATAATGCAATTTTGGAATTTTTGCCTCATACCATAATCTTATAACAAGCACATAATATACATTCATTTTGAGTTGTGAAATGACATAATGTGCTTTACTTAAATTTTTATATACGTGATCTATAATATGTTCGTGAAAATTTAGTTTAGAATCAAAATATGTACCAACTAATTTACCAGAATCCGATAAAATAAGATCATACCTATTCAGGTCTAAGTCGGATGTTGAAACTTAACAGATTTATTATAATTTAAAATTCACCAATTTCTTTGACATCAAGCAGAGAATGTCTTATTACTATTCATAATAAAATAATCTAAATTTCATTACTCACCTTTCTCCGAGATTCAGATGATCACCTTGATGAGTATTAAAAAATTTCTACTGGGATGATTTTTGATCCATGTAGCAAACAATAGGAAAACATTCCTACACGACTAGCTTTCTGTTGCATTTCGGGTTAAGATATTTAATTATCCCCATGTTTAAAATTCTTCTTAATTGCACGACGTTTCGATCACGACGGTGACAATTTTCAAGTACAATTGACACTTTGTTCATCTGTCTTTCAGGTAATACTTTGTTGTTTTCTTTCATCTACACGTTCCTGTACAGCGTGTTACTACAATAGTCTGATAAATTTATTTCGGGCCATTCCTTTTGCAGAAAGGTTGGTGGAACTTAGAAGAACGCCGAATTTACTGAAAATTGTATGTAGTATGTAGGAGCCAAATCCCATTTTATTATTGGATCATTTGCAGAATATTCGTTGTTTATTCTCAATTACCGGCGTAAAAATATACAACATTCTGCATTTTGGTAATGGAATATTTAATCATGTTCCTAAGAGCCTGAATTTCATTTTTACATGATCGTATTGTTCCAAAAATAGTAGATACCATTGTTTTTTTATTGATTCGAGCATATTAATATCTTAATGTCATGTTAAGTTAGAATTACTGTTTTGTCTAGGAACTGACTCCTATAATATTATTCATAGGCTTAAAATTGAAACCATTTCAATGTCAGTCGTCGATATCAGCAGCTACTGCAGTACAATTTTCAATTCTATATAAATGGATATTCGTTTAAAAATAATCATTAACCATTTCTCACGTCTTATCTGTTATGGCGCTGGAAGTATAAATACTATAAATAATCAATTGGGAGAGGGTCATTTAATTTATCAGAACAAATCCTTGAATATATGATTTTTGGCGTCGATAATGCTATAAACTGTACGCAACTAGTTCAAAATGAAAGATCTAATAATTGATAAGCAAAGGTCGAATAATAATCTGTTGTGTATAGGTACGCGATTTTTATGTAGGTCAAGTAGATTTTTGCACAATTATGTGTTGGCAGCATTGGTATATTTATACATTTATCAACTTATGCAAAATGTTCTAAAAAGAAATCCTTTATTTTTTATGTTTTTATAACATCATATTGACACCGTGGTAGGGTATGCGTCTATATGACATATTATATGAGACACTTATTTATATTGTAACCATGGTGCAAGAAATCTGTTCACTATGCAAGCCAAAAATAAAAAACGTTCACCAATTTTCCTTTTGTATACTTTATATTGTATATATATACAGGGTGTCCCAAAAAAAGTGTGCAATATTCTACCAGCGGTTTCTAGAGCTTAAAATAGGAAGAAAAGCTTATATAAACATAGGTCGACAAACGTCCCCTGAAGATGGTTCTTCCTTAATATTTCCGAAACGTGTTGAGATAAAGATATAAAATTTGGTATTCTAGCCTAGTTTTTTATGCTGGATTTAAAAATATTAACAATTTTAGACAGTTTTGTGTGGAAGCGTATGTAACAGGGACGGACTCAGGTTATTTGAGCCCCAAAATTTTTGTGTGATTCTATTTTTGAAATTCATTTTTAGAATTTGAAAATTTAGGGTTTTCTACATAAAAGGTACTCTTATTGAATATCGATAAATTGTGCCATTTTTGAATAAAATCAAACAAAGAATTTGTCACATGACAGGAAATGCACTGCGAATTTAAATGAATTGTTGAATAATAAGCCATGGCAACGAAAAAACTAATTTAATAATTGGTAAATATTACATAAATATATATTTCTATTGCAACATAGCTAACATTTAGGCAAAAATAAAAGAAATAAATTTTTTCTACGAACGAAATTGAAATTTGTTTAAAAAAGAAGACATACAGTCGGATATACTTAAAACTAGCTTTGCAGCAATAAGTTTTCAAATAAATTCCCATTTTGTTGGATACAGAGTCTCGCTCGACGAATTCATGATTGCGTAGCCCGAAAAGTGGAAAACCTTTTTCTTCTTATTTCATTTGCAGCCTGATGGATTCTTTGAACTAAATGTTCTTGAGTATTTACTTCAGTCGAGTAGACTAGGTCTTTTAATGACCCCCAAAAATAGAAATCCAATGGATTTAGGTCAGGTGAACGTGACGGCCACGCTATAGGACCTCCTCGGCCTAACCACCTGTCTGGAAAATTGACATTCAACCAATTTCGAACATTGCGTCCAAAATGTGCAGGGGCACCATCATGTTGAAAAAATATATTTTCTTGAAGGTGCTGGCGCACATCCTATGGTATTATATCCATGAGCTCATTCTGAAAAAAGTTCAGATACACCTCTGAATTAAGACGATTGGGAAGTACAATAGGCCTAATTACTTGATCCCCAATTACTCCTGCCCATAAGTTCGATGAAAATCTATGTTGGAAATTTGTACGGCGAACAGCTTTTGGAATTTCATCTGACCAGTGATGCATGTTATGGAAATTAAAAGCACCATTCCTAGTAAATATTGACTCATCCGACTATAATATTCTAGGAATAGTGTTTTCATTTGTTAATATCCACTGGCAAAACTCGATTCGTGGTAAAAAATGTGCCTCCGTTAAATGCTGCACCCGTTCAAAATGATAAGGATGTAATCCTTGCACTCTTGTCATTCTTCCTATCTAAAATTATTATTTTTAGGATAACTATCAAATAGGTATTCATAAACTTTTCTTACTATTGATCGAGGTATTACCATATTTTCTGAAACATTTCGTATGCTTATTTGCGGATTATTTTCAAACATATTTAAAGCAGTATCCATACGATGATTTCCCAGTGGCCTTCCTGAGCCATGCATGCGCTGAAAACTTCCATGGTTTGACAAATTCCGGTGAAAATCAGTAAACATTCGACAATCTTCTTTGATATTCTCTTACGGCTGCCAATGAACTGTCATTACAAAACCCGTACACAAAATGCATGTCAGTCAGTTCTCTGTCTGTAAATCATGGCATTTTAAATCGATTTAATGAATTTTGATTTTAATCTAGTACTTTTACACTGCTAACAATGTCAGCTTAATGTCAAAATAAGTCATAACAAATCAAAACAACTTTTGATTGCAGTCATGGCTAACTATGTACAATCAACAATTCATTTAAATTCGCAGTACATTTCCTATCATGTGACAAATTTTTTAGTTTGATTTTATTCAAAAATGGCACAATTTATCGATATTCAATAAGAGTACCTTTTTATGTAGAAAACAATAAATTTTCAATTTCTAAAATAGAATCACACAAAAAAATTTGGGAGAAAATAACCTGAGTCCGTCCCTGTTACATACGCTTCCAAACAAAACTGTCTAAAATTGTTAATATTTTTAAATACAGCATAAAAAACTAGGCTAGAATACCAAATTTTATGTCTTTATCTCAACACGTTTCGGAAATATTAAGGAAAAACCATCTTCAAGGGAGCCCCTTTAAAAGACCGCAGCGCCCTTAGGGGACGTTTGTCGACCTAGGTTTATATAAACTTTTCTTCCTATTTATAGTAGTAGTAGTCGTTGCCATTGCCAACTACCAGTTGGGCAAAAATACAATTAATTGTTAATTGGGAAATTGGGAAACTTTTTAGGCTTTAGTTAACTCTTTTGACGGTAATCTCTAGCTTTCGGCAATTCTCTATGGAGCCTTCATCAGGAGTCGTCGTTGAGGTCAGGAGTCGTCGTTGAGGTTGCAGCCAAATATTGTTTCAAAACGAACGCGGGAATGAGAGCACTTGTTACAAATATAAAACCAATCGGACGGACACATTGGGCTTATTGATAACGACGGATACCATCGTTAGGTGTTTACACTGTATATCAATACACCCGAACATATTAAAAATTAACGAGAAGCAATTTTGGAGACAAAACCGGAACGTGGGTTTTGAAACACCATTTGGCTGCAACCTCAGCCACGAGTAAGTTGTC